AATCCCCATTCCCCAGTGCCACTGAGTGGGGGAGGCAGAGAATTCAAAGGTGAAGCTGAGCCCAGGAATAAGGAAGGAGTGGGGTGAAGGTTAAAGATTGGTTTTATTTCTCTGATCTGACTGGCAACAAATTATTTTTTTCCTCCAGGTCAAGTCTATTTTGCCTGTGATGGTTATGACTGATCTCTCACTGTCCTTATCTCAACCCAAAATCTCTTTGCAGTATTTTCTTTGTCCTGTCCACTGAAGCGGTAGAGCAGCTTTGGTGGGTACCTGGAGCCCAGGGTCAACCCACCAGACAAGTTTAGATGAGTTAAAATCTGTAACTTTTCTAATGCTGAAACATCTGAAAGCATCTGGAAAAGCGATGAAAGTGTGGATTTCTACAATACCTTTACTAGTGCTTAAGAAAGCTTTGTTAGGATAATCCAGCCTTTCTTTAGTAGTAGAAGCAGTAGACATGTGCAAACACACTAACAGTCCATGATTTGGCTGACAAACTGGAAAACCCAGCCTGCTAAATGTTATAGCAGAAAATGCATGCAGCTGTCCCACCTGCCCAGCTAAACTACCAACAGGATAACGTGGAATTGCTCCAGCATTTTCAGCACTCCTACAGGCAATATTATCACATTTTTATACACCAACAGGCACAAAAAAAAGCTTTTGTTACACTTTAAAGCAGAACCCCTAAAACTTCCCATGGTGTCAGAAACTTTAGGATCAACAAGAATTCCAACTTCTTTGTATTATTTTATAGATCTTTTAATTTTGAAATGTTAGTAAGCTTTGCCTTCCCTGCTCTCTCTCACCCTTGACTCTATCACTGTGCCACAAAACAGGGATCAAATGTGCAGCTTTGAAACTCCTTCCATTTGTCTTTGTTTCTACTGATTTATGATGCACCTTAAGTGGAAAACAAATCTTTATAGAAAATATATTCTTCCTCTATACCATACATTACAATGTTTTTTATTATCTATTTATATTATATATTATTATTTTATTATACAATTCTATTAAGTGACACTACATCTACTGCTATTTTTTATTTTGTTTGAACTGGAATAACAATGAATGTTTTTTTGATAATTGTAAAAAATTGACAATTTTATTTATATCTTAGCATGAGACAGTAATAAAGTATTACTTCAATATTCACAAAATTAAATAATATCCAAGTTTCAAGAGAATTGTGACAATGGAATTGTCTTTGGTTATCATTTTCTTATCCATAGCCACATTCCAGCACTATAATATGCCATGGCTATTAAGTGACACTACATCTACTGCTATTTTTTATTTTGTTTGAATTGGAATAACAATGAATGGATTTTTGAAAACATTATACTGGAGCAAAAGCTATCTGTGTAAAATATTTTTTTCAAAATATTAATATATCTGTATTTGTATTTTAAGATTTTTTTTTAGAACTGAAAGATGTGTTANGCATACATTTCATTCAGATATAATTTTGTGATATTTTAAATGAGCACATTAAGTGAAGTCTTCTTGGATTCCCTAACTCTCTTTATTTAGCTTAAGTTTTTACTAAGTTTAAGTTTTTCTGGTCTCCCTAAAAGATACAGGCAGTATAATTTTATTTTTTTTTCACATTTTAATTTTTTTGAGGTTCTTAGAATTGTATTTGGACAGTGACTGAGTGAATAGTCTCTATGGAAAGTCTCTTGACAAGGATTCTCTTAGATTTGTGTTCAGTGCAAAGAGTTTGTCCCAGAAGTAAAAGAAACAGCTTTCACAAGGCAGGACCTGCCAATGTTTACCAACATTGAAGATAAGCAAAAATTAATGATGGTATTTTTAAACTAGCTCTTTAAACCCCCAAAACAGTCAGAATAATTAATAGCTTAATTAGAAAGATTATGCTCTTTGGAATGGCTGAAAGACTGAGCTTTTCAGAAAAGTCTGTTGGAGATAATGAGAATTTCCATTAGTTCCAGCACTCAGAAATGATTGCCACTCCAGAAGACAAAGCTTGGGAAACAAATCTAGAAAGAATCAGAACCTATTTAAACATTTCTGAGTACTATTTGTACTAATATATTTTTTAAATTTAAGGAACTGAAATGATTTTAAGGAAGAATGATCTTTTAACACAGCAGCAGCAAAAGTTATCAGCAGCATTTGTGCGCAGTAGCTGTTCTGTAGCCTGCATGAAGAGTTAACCTTCCTCAGAGTGTTTCACTTAATCAATTGCATATCTTGCACATGGCTAATTTATACACAGAGGTTATAAAAATGAAGTAGATAGAAAACCTTTCAGCCAAATTGAGAGATTTGGAGACCTGACTACAGCTTGGGTGTTTCAATAAACACTGGTATGTTTAACATTACTGTACAATTAGGTTTTCAGAGCATTCCTAGTATTTCTTTTGTGTTCCCTGATGAATAAAAAATTAATCCCAGAATTCTGTAGGACAGAATCATATTTTGGCTTGTATAGTTTGTTGCAGCACAAAGAATTGCTGCAAATCCCAAAGTCCCAGCACTACTAATAAACTGATAACCTGCACAGGGCCTCATTGTGTGACCACAACCTACAGAAGAAGCTGTATTCATAAAGTCACCCTGCAATAATTCAGCCACTGTGGCAGTTTTGGTGTTATTTCACAGTGCAGTTGTTTTTCATTCAGGAGTTCAGACAAATTTAAGAAATGCAGCTTCAGAATAACTTTTTATGAAAGTCCATAAGGAATGCTGAGCCTGGCAACAGAGTCAACTGAATTTAAAAAATAAATATTCTGTAACCACACTGAGTTTGAGGGCTGAAATGGCCACATCATTTATTGATTTAAATAATCAAGACATGAATACACAGCTGATCAACTATGTAACAACACAGGGCATACACTGCTTTATCATGCATCAGGACAAGAATGCCATCGTTCCTAAACTGGAATAATGCACCAAGGAGATGAGCCACTACATTGCCTGTGTCAATTTTTAGACATGTTTTTACTCTCATCTCTTAATTCTAAAAATCATGATCTCTTTTTTTTATTTTTTTTTATTTTTTTTTCCCAGTTTTCATATGTAGTCATTTCCTATAATTTATGAATTCTGATTTGGTAGATTTGGAATCCCCATTCCCCAGTGCCACTGAGTGGGGGAGGCAGAGAATTCAAAGGTGAAGCTGAGCCCAGGAATAAGGAAGGAGTGGGGTGAAGGTTAAAGATTGGTTTTATTTCTCTGATCTGACTGGCAACAAATTATTTTTTTCCTCCAGGTCAAGTCTATTTTGCCTGTGATGGTTATGACTGATCTCTCACTGTCCTTATCTCAACCCAAAATCTCTTTGCAGTATTTTCTTTGTCCTGTCCACTGAAGCGGTAGAGCAGCTTTGGTGGGTACCTGGAGCCCAGGGTCAACCCACCAGACAAGTTTAGATGAGTTAAAATCTGTAAATTTTCTAATGCTGAAACATTTGAAAGCATCTGGAAAAGCGATGAAAGTGTGGATTTCTACAATACCTTTACTAGTGCTTAAGAAAGCTTTGTTAGGATAATCCAGCCTTTCTTTAGTAGTAGAAGCAGTAGACATGTGCAAACACACTAACAGTCCATGATTTGGCTGACAAACTGGAAAACCCAGCCTGCTAAATGTTATAGCAGAAAATGCATGCAGCTGTCCCACCTGCCCAGCTAAACTACCAACAGGATAACGTGGAATTGCTCCAGCATTTTCAGCACTCCTACAGGCAATATTATCACATTTTTATACACCAACAGGCACAAAAAAAAGCTTTTGTTACACTTTAAAGCAGAACCCCTAAAACTTCCCATGGTGTCAGAAACTTTAGGATCAACAAGAATTCCAACTTCTTTGTATTATTTTATAGATCTTTTAATTTTGAAATGTTAGTAAGCTTTGCCTTCCCTGTTCTCTCTCACCCTTGACTCTATCACTGTGCCACAAAACAGGGATCAAATGTGCAGCTTTGAAACTCCTTCCATTTGTCTTTGTTTCTACTGATCTCCTTCCATTTGTCTTTGTTTCTACTGATATATGATACACCATAAGTGGAAAACAAGTCTTTATAGAAAATATATTCTTCCTCTATACCATACATTACAATGTTTTTTTATTATTTTTTATATTATATATTATTATTTTATTATACAATTCTATTAAGTGACACTACATCTACTGCTATTTTTTATTTTGTTTGAAATACAGGAGTAAAAGCTATCTGTGTAAAATATTTTTTTCAAAATATTAATATATCTGTATTTGTATTTTAAGATTTTTTTTAGAACTGAAAGATGTGTTAACAGGACTTATTAAAAGTAAAATTAACTTTAGTACAATCCCTTTGCAATGGTTGCAGAAATCTGATGTGATCTAGTACATTGTGCAGTCTGCCATATGCAGTACAACAATATGCTTCAATGATGAAATCATCTTAACACCATCTTCTGTAATCTTCTGGCAATCAGCCACATGAATGCCTGATGTATGGGCAACATTTACTCATCAACTTGAAATTTAAATCAGTATTTTGGTTATTCAGTGTTGAAATATTTAAGATGCAAGTAACACATCTGACATTCATTAAGAGCATGATCCAAATACCCACTGAAATCAGCTGAAAGACTTATTTCCAATTATCTGAAAGAATTGTAAAAATACAAAATCAGTAGTAGAATGCTGTCCCCATATATTATAGTTGCTTTACCACTGAATGAAATGAAATGCTCTCATTTACAAACTAGAAGACCATAATTCAAACATACCAATGAAAAAAGAAGACAACTGAAGTTTTCTGACAGTGACTGCAAGTGAGCAAGATTTATATGCATAATTAGACAATAGTTATACAAAAATTCTTATGGTTAGAACTTCTCTTGAGCTGATTCTTTCTTCTTTGAAGATATTCGAGAGGATAACTCAGTTCTAACACCTTAAAATTTCTCAAAAAGTACAGTTTCTTTTCAGTTTCTTACTTAATTATATCTGTCTGTAAGAGTTAACATTTTGCTGATTAGCAAATCTTGAATCCAATTGCAGCCATTGGCAGTATTTCTGAAGACATCAGCTCAAATTTACACAAGAAATTAGCAAGCCTAACAAAAACAGTACAGGGAAAGCTTGAGATCTTTTCAATGCTTTAACATCTTACCATAGGCTCCTAGATGCCCACTAAAACAAGAAATGCATTAATCTTGGTAAAAGAAAAACAGATCCATGAGGTATACATGTTATTCTGAAATTCGAACAACATAATGCAAAGGACCTGCTAAAAAAAATGTGTAATCTAAAAAGGCAAGAGTCAGGATCAACATTTCCTACAGCTGACACCATTTATGGAAGTGGCAGTGAATGTTACTGTCTCATTATTCTGCCTTTGTTTTCCCAATCTTATGATTTATTCACCTGTGGTAGATACTGAAATTCAGTTTGAAGGAAGTTCGGAATGTAATAAAATATCTTCATTGTTTCTTTCTAGATCCACAGTAAAATGTGTGTTAGATTCAGAGAGGCTACAAGGAAAGATTCTCTGCAGTCACGATAATATCAAGCTCTTCTACAGGCTCCTTCATGCAGGACCACAACAACTCTGTGTGCTCTAACAGTGCAGCAGTATTCAGTGAAATTAAAAATGGACTGATGGATCTGTCAATTCAGTTTACTCCTTTTATCAGTCCAGGGAGACAATTCTTTAACTGCTTAAATTCAGTAGATGTCAGTTTACTCTCAGGCATACAAAATGTTTCTTTTGACATATAAATGCTATGTAAATGACAGTTTATTTTTAGCTTCTACAGAAAATATAGATGTGAGCAATTCCTCCCTATGAAGTAGTGTCCCTGATATTTGCATGTAGCAATCTTACTGTTTTCCAGGGCTTTGAAATTGTGTAATATAACAGTTGATGGTTGAACTTGGGAGTCTTAGAGGTCTTTTCCAGCCTTAATGATTATATGGTTCTATACTGTGCTGCTCAGACTACAGCCTCAGGAATTCATTTGCAAACATCCATAGGAAAAAAGTGCCCCACCTCTTCAGCTGCTGCAGAAGCCTGATGCGCTTAGGCCTGACAGTGGACATCACTAGCAGACAGGAGATGGTCACAGAAAAGCAAGCCAACCCATCACCAATTACACCTGAGTACAATAACAGTGCACCAGGAGATTCTCCCAGTACTTGCACTTCTAGTCTTGCCCTTGTAGCAAGGGCATCTTGCTGGTCCCCACTCTACTTATCACTGGAAACTAGAATCAAGCCCGCTTGACTTCAATCTTACACTGAGTTAGGAGATTCACACCTTGGGTTTCTGGCTCCTCTTTCTGAAAATTTATGTTTGGGTTCCTTTTCCATGTGAGATGTTTTTTAATGACTTTAAGTTAGAACCAAGGCAGACTGTCTTTTCTATTCTGGCATAATGCCTCATCTTTTATCTTATGCCCAGGTTGGCTTGCTCTATTTTCAAGCTGAAGTGGCTTTTTAAACAGATTCTTTGTCAATTGTTTTAAATGCTGTGATGTTAGATGTCTTTTCTTAGAGGACTGTGGCACTCTGCAAATTTTCCCTTGTGCAGAGGGATGCCAGCCCTAGAGGGAAACTGGCTTCATGTCTGTCAAATGTATTCTTAAAGTGTTTGTGCAGATCTCAAAGACCGACACACAGGCAGAAAATATGGTGCGGCTCGTAACACACACTGGCACTTTGAGCACTGTGGATGCAAATGATCTGTGTGTTTTGAGTTCAGGACAAGTGTAGCATATTTGTTTTTCTACAGTGGGTCTGTAACAGCCTGTAAAATGACAGAATGAAAACCCTACCATCAAAATAAATGGGGGAAATATTTTACAGGTAATGCACGGTGATATAAATCCCATCAAGTTCCATCCCTCTGACAGCTGGCTATGCTCAAGGTGGGGACTGATATTGTGCAGCTGTGTTACCCTAGATCAGGCTTCTCCAGGAACAGCTATACTCTAGAAGCAGATGTAGAAGGAAAAAGGGCAGAATCTTGTGAGGCTGCAGAGGTGTCAGAAAAGGATTATGAAGAACCATCTCATAACCACAAGCTGGTCAAAGCATGTAGAGCCTGTTGGTGAACTCCAGGCTCTCAAACCATGTCCAACTGAGACATGTCTGCTGGACAAAAGGACACAGTGATGTTGGGAATGTGGTTGATGTGGGCAACACATCAGTGAGGATCTGCAGATAGTACTGCAGACCTCACCATTAGCATGGATAGGTTGGATTTGCCCACCCCAAATGATTGCCAAACAACCAGGTGCAGGGTAGGCCTACTATGGCAAAGGCAATCAATCTTCTTTTCTACTGGTAGTGATAAGAAGATAAATGGCAGTAGGGAAAGATGTGTGCAAGTTCTCAGGACACAATATTAAATTCAGTAGTCTAGATTCTAGTTTTGTACTCACTATTGATATATGCAATGTGACATAATCCTGTCTCGTTTCCTCATCCCAAAACCTTCAGTATGAAAGGAGTAGTTTAATGGTGAGTATCACGCAAGCAACTGCCTAAGGGATGTACTGGGAAGCCTGTGCTTTCTGCTGGTCAAGAGGCACCAATTGCTTTAACGTGGCATGACCAAGTTGTTCAAGCAAAAGTTTACCTAACTGCAACAGGTGTCTTGCTTGTTGGCTCCTAAGCAGCACAACAACAGCAAAATATGAATCCTGGGATCTCTGTATAGCAAAGAGCAATAAAGATCTCAAGACAAGTCTGAATCACCTTTGGAGACCTCTCCCACTCTCTAATTGCTATATAGGTATATTAAGTTAATTTTCCAGGCACTACCTTATCTTAGATGCCTAAAATAAAGTGAAAATCCAATTCTAAAAAGGAGAGATTGTAGGTAGAAGGTGGAGCAGATCAAACTCAGCAATCCTGACAGAAATAGCATGCCTTTTTCTGGAATTCAGGAAGGATTGCATAATGTTAAATGCAGTCTAAGGGACTTTTAATGTCTATCTGGAAAGCCACTGTTTGCTTAACATAGACATTTGATACCACAAATAGCAGAAATCTGGTGGTTTTCTCCATGCAAGCCAAACCACTGGTGGTTTTCTCCATGCAAGCCAAACCATATTATGCGGAAGCAGTTAATACCCCTGCACAGATTGTTTCTAATTTCTTTTTCACTTGAACTGATTTTTAACTTGAAACTGGATAATGGATCTCAGGCATCAGACTGAGAAAGTTCCAGTGTGAAATATGCATTCAGATAATTAATCAACATTTAGATCTTACTGCAATCATATGTATTTTTCTTATTTTCCTTCATTTCTAGGACAATAAAATCTTAAATCTCTTTTCTAAGGCTCCTATGGATTCTCCATGAAACTTCAGGTAGTCTCAAAGATAAGGTATAGAAATATGAAATTTCTTGCTTATTTTAGTAAAACAATTGCTTTCTCTACTCACTTGGAATTTCAATGTTTAATAGACTGGCTTGAGAGTGAACACCTTGGTCTAAGAATCAGTGTTAGGATACATATAGAGTTTAATACTGTATTGTTTGCCCCAATAAACCTCATCTTTCAAACTAATTCTGAGAGAGACTATTTTGAGGTTTATTGAATATTAGATCCTACAAAATTCTGCAAAACAGACTTTTCCTGCATGACTCAGTATGATCATTCTATAAATGTCTTACTTTTCTTGCATATACATATCAGAAGTGAATGCAAAAATAAATTATAAATGTAAATAAAATTAGGTAAACAAGAAAAATATAATTCCTTATCTGTAGGAGTTCTCAGTCTAATATGTAAATGACTGTCTTGAGTTTTTTTCTTGATTGCATAATCGTTTACTATGATCTGAAATGAAAGCACAACAAAACAAACATGGAGCAAACCACAACTAAAGATCTGTCCCCAGAGATTTAGAAAATAATTACAGCGAAATGATGAAATGTTTACAAGAATATCAAAGTTCATTTCATTTAATTTAATCTGTCTGTAGTTTCTTATTCTGAAGAGTAGGAATACACAGGTTTTTCATTCAGGTTTGCCTTTTTTGCTACACATACACTACTTTAAAATTCTTTCTCCCAGAGCTGACTGGATTTGTGGAATCCAGCCTGCAATGCAGAACGCTGTTTGCAGCACAGAAAGGATTTTGAAGAAACACTCTTGTGATCCCAGTATTGGCAATACACTGAGACCAGAAATTTTAAAATCAACATTCAGAATTGAGGAAGTACTCTCTGGGGCACATGGGACTCTCTTTTTTGCATTCTGTGTTTGTCAAGAACCATAAAATGAATTGTGACATCCTTTCAGATGTTTGGCACATTACACTGATGGCGTGATTCCACATGTTATTTTTCTTTTAATTTTCCACTGTCCAAAAAAAAGCACTTATATTAATATATTCCTGAATTAGCATTTTTTCTAAAATAAATAACAGCATTTGTAACTTATAATATTCTTCATTTACACAAGTTTGTACTCAGGAAATGTAAACAATCATCTCTTCTTCAATAAATAAAGAACATAGCTCAGATTTGCTCCCCAAGTGATGGCCCCTTTTTTGTTGCTTGATACATCTGAAGAAGCCAGAATTTGCCAAAATGAGAGTTCTCCCAATGGAGCCAGAGCAGGGGGAACACAGATGGTGAAAACTGGTGAAGTCTACATGTAGGCTTCTCTGACACCCCTGGAAAGCAGATTTCAAGAAACATAAGGGACAAATTTATTTTCCTCAGTTGCTTTTGTTCTCTTATACATCTGTTGTAACCTACAGCAAGTGACAGAATGCTGTAACACATCCTGGGCATGACATGCAATTGCCTTATCCCTCAGATCTTTCCAGTTTTGTGTCTAATAGCAGAAAATTTTCCGCCAATACTGTTCAGCTCCAGAAGCAGAACAAAGATCTTAAGCTTTCTAGGTGGGGCTCTGAGAATGTCAATGGTGTAACAGGGTACCTTTTCAGCTAGATACAAGAGATTCTCTATATTTTTATGAAAATACGTTCAAACTCATTAAGAAAAATATTTACTGCCTGTGCCATGTGGACAAAATCTTAATTACTGTGACTTTATACAAAAAGCACCATGCCTACAATTTATCCAGTATTATTATCATGTATGAACACAATAGTCAAAGAAAAGATTGCCTTGTTCTGTAACAATGGGCTAGAAAATGTCTGCTTAATTCTCTCATTTCTGCCTGTGTTTTAATTAACTAATTAAATGCTTTGATCCTTAAGTTGCTACTCCCACAATCCTTAACATAATCACACATTTTACAGATGGGCTTTCTAAATAAACATTCAAATCCTACAGAAGTAGTAGGCAATAGAACAACTCATATAAAAAGAACTGTAATGTTAAAATGAAAGAAAAAACCAAGAAACATTAGAAAACATGAAAAATACACATTCTGTAGAATATTTTAAGCATTATTTCAATGATAATAGTATAACTCCTCTATGGTTTTCCAACTAATTCTGAAATGCTAGCCTTACAAAATTTCCCTTTGGTTTAGTTCATCCAGTGAGAGGGGAAAAATATTTTAAAAATCCTTTATCTAACTGTGATGCAATTTGATGGTTTTTTTGGTTTTAACTGTTCACTTAAGTACTTGGTCATAATCACTAAGCACTGTTCCAGAATCCAAAAATGGAGAAAGTTGTGGAATTCCTTTCAGGGCTTTCAAATACGCTGGCAAGCAGACCCACTGTCCTGTGGCAGGGGAGGATTGTGGTTTTCCCTGTTTGATCATGATCACTTCTCCCTGAGTACTATTAGATCATGCTTTCTGGAGGCAGATCCCTACGGCTTATGATGACACTTCTAAACAAGCAGGAATGATGCTTGAACCAATTATTGGCATTTTGAAAAAGTTACTCAGAGGTAGGTAGTTCTTAACTTTCCTCTACCTCAGTCCTCATTTCAAATTTCACACTGTCACTGCACAACAATCTCAGCATGACTCTCATGAACAAGAAACAGATGCTCAGTAAAGAGCAATCAGTACAAGACTATTTCCCCATCTGCCTCATCCTTTGTTCTGAAAAGGTTATGTTAGATGGAAAATTAAACTGTTATTCCTCAGACTCTAACATTTCACATGTATTTTGTTATATGGAGAACCTTATCAGAGCATAAAGAATTTTATGTGTGAGTCTTTACCTAAACATTAGGAGACTACAGTCATTGTCTTACAGTTTGGCATTTCATATTGCTTTTGGAATATGTTTCAAGTACAGTATGTATTTGAAAGTTTCTAAAATAGTACTGCATTCTAAAACTTTGGTTTTCTTGACATGCATCTTTACCATTCTACAAGTTTAGTAGGATATTAAAATAATCCAAAATATAACTATTTTTAGTTTGCAGTTATAAATACCACTTCAATTAATATATTAAACCAATGTAAAACTACAACAAAAGTTCACGTTTTAATTAACTTCCTTCTCAGGAAATCAACGATAAATTTGTATTTTTTTCCAGCACAGAGTGGCTTTCATTTTTTTTATATCTTAGTAAAAACTGCATTTTTAAAGCTCCAGATATAAACTCCCAACTAATCATGTCATACAATTAGTCTATTTATGGCTACAAAAAGCAAGCCTTGTTCTCATTATGCAGTAAGTACTAGCTGTTTATAGATCTGACAGTTTGCTGGAAGTGATCCAAACCTATAGTGCTATTATTCCTTAGTAAAACTTAAACAGCTGTAGTCATGTAATTCAAAACCCTGGAAGGCTGCTGCAGTGCTTGCTCAACCTCAGTATACCATGAATGCAGGATGCTGCCAGTCATATAAAGGATCCTCTGCTTCACATTATGAAAGAAAGACGTGAACTACAAACCTGAATGCAACCTGGAATTTCCAGACAGATGATCTTGTGACAGCCTTTTCAAGAGTCCAGGTATGGTAAACCTTTGTGAATTTTCTGCAGTGAGCTAAACTCATTTACTGTAAATTGGGGAAGCTTTGCAAAAAAACCCACAAAAAACAACAGACCAATTTGTTACAAGGGCATAATACAGAATCAAAAGGACATAAAATGCCATAGTTAAAGTTTTCTGAAAATTACTGTAAAGAAAAGATGTTCAATATTAAATAGAATTATCTACTTTCTGAAGTTTGATAGTCCACTTCTGCTGCAGTTTTTCCTCTGCTCTTGTATTGCAAATTAGTGGGGAATAGCACTATCATGCAAGATATTTCACCATATGAAATCAGTAACATTGTAAAGTTATCTTAAGTAACTGCAAAAGCATACTTTTTAAACTAATCGGAACTTCTTTGTGCATACTTTTCAAGTATGACTTTTCAGTGAAAGTTTGTTGGACTGCTTTTGCCATTGACTTTACAAGCCATGCCTGTTGGAAATGAAAACCAGATCTCTATCAAAAAACATTAAAAGCAGAAATGTGTAGTTTAAGCTTCTCAAGTAATATAATTGTTTAGAAGAGTACTATTAAAATAATCTGAAAAATCAAAGACTTAGAAAAATGAGTCATGTAATTTTAGGTTTTGATCAGTTCTTTTGGAAAACATTTCTTTATACTAAAAATTAGTTAAGACAAAGCAAATTGTGTAAGTGGAAAATGTTAATCAACAGCACTCTGTAAAATCAAGTATTTGTACTCTGAAATTACTTAAATTTCCATCTGCAGATTTATATCATAGTGAAAGCTATTCATTTAACTGAACTCCATTTCTAACTGAAATAAATAACAATTACCACAAGCACCACAAATGAAAGCATACAGAAAATCAGAACCTAGAATTAGAACCTTCTGCTCTGTTAGACATTTAGTTGTAGTCATGCAGCTCTGCAAGTCAGCAAAAGCAGGCATTTTGAAGAAGATGGGAACTCCCACTGAGGAGCTGACTGCTTAAGGAGTGCTTACTGACTTTTGGAACTGGCTTTATACTTTCAAAATAGAGTGGGGACTCTGAATAAAAATGCAAAGAGGAAGTGTAAAAAGAATGCTGTTGTAAAATAATAATAATAAAAAATATTAAGAAATTAAAGATAAGATTACATTTAATGAAAAAAACCCAACAATGTGCATTAGAACCAGATATTAGAGTATAAAGGTATGTGTTATTTCTGGTGCCTTTTTTGAAATGGAAATGTTTAATTCATATTAAGTACAAAAGTATCCTTCTTCATAGAAGGCCGAGCTACTTTGCATTTCAGTGTGATATCCCACAGAAATGAGGGGAGGAAAATAAAACTTGGAGAAGTATACTTCCAAACATATCTGATAAAATAGATAACGAATTAAGAGACTGGAGTAAATACTCTGGTAGCTCCGAGTCTTTTTAATGTCTATGTTGCTGCAAGGCTGCACAATTTAAGATACAGGTAAACCTTTCTTACTGCATTTTGAAGACTGTAATCAAAGCCTCACAATAATTTTGAAGAGATACTGATTTCCTTTATTGGTCATATGACATTTTTAATGATCTGGCAATCTTAACATATGCCTTCTTTTTCCATTCTGGAAGTGACATCTTCCTTAAAACTCAAGGAGCACACAGACAACCAAAAATCCTTGTGTTTTGTTACAGCTAAATTCTGCAGGAATTCTGTTTACTGGTTTTTCAATTAATTTTGACATTTGCAATCTCAGTATCATTGTTTCAAAACAATCTGACAAACTCACTTTCTGACATTTATTCCTGATGGACAGTGATCATGTCTACAATATGTGACAGAAGTTTTCAGAGGGACTGATTTTAACTGATTATCTCTGTTGTGCAATGTGAAGGCTAAAATGCTTGTAAGGTATAGTATGAGAGAATAAAAACTGACCCCTACACTTCACTAGCTCCTTGTTCCAACAAAGGATGTCTGATACAACACAGGAAACTTCACATGCGGCATTATGAAATGCAATACTGCCACCTCTAAGTACTTTGTGTTAGTTACCCAAGTACACAGGACCTGTGCTGAGCAAATGTTTTTGGGATTGCCATATGAAATGTTCATGAAGTCTGTCTGCTATCAAATTATTCACAGGACAGCAGCTTTTTGTACATCCCCATAGTCTCAGAAACAATGTCTCATTGCTTCATATGTTTTAATCTAAAAATTGTCAATACAAAGAGTGTAATATTATGGTTTTAAATCAGAAGCATCATGTGTGACTGGGAAAATTTCATATTAACAAGGTACATGATAATTGTTAAAGGTCTTTTGTCAGTGGAGAATTTTTCTTTGCTATTTGCACATCAAAGAAATGATGTTCCAAACTTCAGCATAAATATATGGAAATCTAAGAAGACAAAATCAGCCAACATGGAAAAAACACATAATAAAAGAAATGCTCATAAAATGAGTGGTCACATTGGAGACACTAATGCAAAACTTTGCCAAAACAAATGTTAGTTATATGAGGATATGGCATTTCAGACTAAGAAAAACAAAAGTCAAAATGTATTATGCAAATGCCAAAGAAAACCATGTTTCTGAATTTCATGGGGGTGCTGTTGAAAGACATACTTTTGTTTTCCTCATAGGAAAGAGAAACAATGTACAGGTATTCAAATCCATATACATCTTTGTGATGGCTGCTGTTGTAAACAGCTCACCTCATTTCATCTACAGCAGCTTTTCATCCAGCAATTCTACTTGCCAGGCAGATCTTGAGTCTCTAGGGGTACCTCTGAAACAGGAATGACAGGCTTTTGTAAGACTGTATTTTCTCTGCCTTCAGCTCACTGATCTTTCAAATATCAGTTTGGAGTAACTCTTTCTTTTGCAGTTGTCACACAGAGCCTTGGTTCACACAATGCACCTATCCACAATACTTTCTCTCAAAAATAAATTTTTAAGAACATATCTAACTTTCAAACTTCTTGCATCATCATGAGGAACTGGACATGCACAAGAAATTTCTGGACAGCATTTTCTTTTAAAAGTTTCTGTGAAACTCTGTGCAATACATAAGGCAATCTAGCATATATTTTTAGATATACTAAAAAGATAAAAGAACTGCTATCTAAATGAAATGTATAGGGCATTTATTTCATTTTGTATAGCAGACAGAATCCTACAAATCACTCAAAAAAGAGTATTTCAATCACACATGCCTCTAAATTTTCTGCAAGATTAAACAAACACACTTTCATATTTCTCTTTGATTTCACCTTGTCAGTAGTCAGAGAGTTCTATTAGTACTATCTCTATACAACAGATTTAAATTGATTTATCCAGGAGTATATTAAAATTATATTTGCATGTACCAAGGGAAAAAACCTAAGTAAGCATCTTTAAATCATCATCATAATTTCTGTACATCTCAGCTATCTTCTTTGGAAGCCTCAGAGTAGAACTGAGAGATGTGATGATACTGTCACTACCTTAAAGTATGGTCATTTTATCATTCTAAAGGATACCTACTGAATACAGTCCTACAGAGCACAAGGGAGTTAACATGTTAATGCACTTTGCATTATTAAACCAAGATTATTATTAGCCAATCCTGGTATCTAAAACCATTGGTGAGTTTTCTGGTATATTTCTCTAACCAGTAATATAATTTAATATAGTATAATTTATAGAATGCTTTCTGTTTAGTTCTACCCTCTAGGTGGAACATTAAACTTGAGTAATTATAAGGCTTCCATATTTTATTGACCTGCAGAACAGGAATTACTCATATTGTTCCATTCTTATATAATGGGAACAAATCTCCTAGTATGATGTTTCACAATAAATGTCAGTACAATGCAAAGGCAAAAAGTCAGTACTTGTACATGAAAATCTAATCGTTGAGCCTGTGTCTTTTTCCATTTTGTGATCACCTTTTCCCTATTTCAGTTATCAGGCAAAAGGACCATCCAGTAACTGGAACTCAATACCAACCAATCCTAAAGAGGAAAGTTTGTGTTTTTGAAATATATTCCTGCAACAAAGGACTTGAGAGAGGAGATATATCAGTAAAAATAGGTATGTAGATGGAAGATAACCATAGCCCGGAAAGGAGTGAAAGCCCAGGGAGTGGTGAGAAAGCTGGGGGGAATAGTGATGAGGAAAATCTCTGAAACCTTCCAAGCAAAAGCAGCACAAAGGGGTCTATCTCAAGTGTCTGAACACAAACACTTGTAGCTTGGGAATCAACCAGCAGGGACTGAAATCCATGTACAGGTACAGTGCTGCAATTTCACTGGGACTCCAGAGATGCAGAGAGATTGCACTCCTTCAGTTGCATGTGCTATGAAAGGTTCCAGAATATTTAAGCATGACAGCCCAGAAAGGTGAGGATGGCCTGCACTCTATGCAAAATCATGCCTGAATGCATGGTGCTTTGCATTGAAATAGGTGACAAGTCAATCTAGAGCTTATTTGTAATGATTAGAAGCCAGACCTATGCGCATTACATTGTGGCAGGGATCTTCTGCAGACTTCTTGATCTGCTTGATCAAGAAGAGATGGTGGATAAAACCTTTGGGCAGCTGAAGGAAGCTTTGCTCTTGCCTATCCTGATTACTCATGAGAGACTTTAACTTCTGCCTGCCAGAAAATATGGCTGGACATGAACAATCCAGGAGATTTCTAAAGTATGTTGAAGACAATTTCTTGGTCCAGCTGACTGACAAGTGGTCTAGAGAATGTGTTCTTCAACAGGTGAAGGAATGTGAACTTGAGTGAATGTCAGCTTGAATGGCTTTGGTTACTGCAGCCACAAAAATGAGAAAATGGAAAATTCAAAATCCAGACAGAATAAAATTGGAAAAACTATAGAGGAAAAATCCCTGAACTTGTTAGCAGATTTTGGCTAATTTAGAGATCTCTTTAACAGGATCTCACAGTAGACAGCCCTGGAGGACAAAGGGGCCCAGGAGAACTGATTAATCTTTAAGGACAAGCTACTCCATTACTTTTTAGCCTCAGTTTTTACAGCTAAGGCTTGTCTGAAGGCTTCCCAGGTGCCTGGCTGGAGCTTGTGAGCAGAGTCTGTGAGAGTGAAACAATACCCATTGTAGAAGAAATTAATGTCAGGGAGCACCTGAGGAAATGGGATGAGACAGGATGCATCCAAGAGGAAGAAAGCTGTCTCTTGTCATTGAGAGGACTCGCTCATTTTTGAAAGGTCATGACAGTCAGAGGAGATTCCTAATGACTGGATGATAGGAAATGTCACATCCATTTTCAGGAAATGGAAGAAGATCCAAGAAACTAGAGGCCAGTCAGCTCCACTTGAGTGCCTGGGAAGGTTATGTAGCAAATCCTCCGTGAAGCCCTGTCCAAGCACACGAAGGATGAAAAAGTGTCAGCGAACAGCCAGCATGAGTCTATCAAGGGCAAAGCATTCCTCACTAATGTGATAGTTTTCTATTATGAAATTACTAGATCTATTAATACGGGGAGAAAAGCAGCCCTTGCATCACCAGCTTCACTATCCTGAAGCATTTTTGTCTGAAATTCTCAAGGGTATTTTACCTATGGTAATTTTCAAAAGCCTGTGTATAAATACTGGTGTATCTGGGCTAGAACACTGGATGTACACTTCACTAAGAAGTGACTACAAACGATACAAAATTATTTTTTTATATACTTAACACTAGAATTAGCCTGTAAATTGATGATTATATTAAGAAACATAATTTATGAATGATATATCAATGTTATTCTTAGATTGATTTATTATAAGAAAAATTTGCATATAACATTGCCTTTTCTAAGGAATTAGTAATAAAAGCAAAGATTGTTCTTCCATCAAGGAAGAGCAATGAAAAAACATAAAAGAAAATAAATGGAAGCAAGATAAAATTAAAATGTTAAACTGAGAAAAAAATGGACAAATACACAAGGATGATTGCATTCTTAGACACCTTTCAAATTAAAGCTCTTAAAAATATCAAGAAATTTAGTGAGATGTTTTTAGAACTCAAGTGGCTACTGAAGGAATAAAGGAAGTTGTAAACAATATAGGATTAAAATGTATTGTCAGTAACAACTCCAAGCTTATAATAACAACAAAACCCTCCTTCTAGACTGGTGAAGGTTTGAAGCCTGTTTATCAAAATTAATTGAGATTGAATATATAATTTTGCCCTAGTACTGCAGAAAACCAATGAGAACTTCACTGATTATCTCTGAATCCTACTAAACTCCATTTTCAAAGTACTTTTGAAAGTCTCTAGTTTTTATCAGGAAGATTTGTCACCCAAATAGTCACAGCACTTGAAAAGAATCTTTCTTCTTGGTATAAATTATAATTTGTAGAAAGAGTTTGTTGTTCTTATATTTAATCCCTGGCATTTACAAATATGTAAGTCTTGAAAATTTTGAAATTCCCCTAAAAGGGGAAAACCCAAAACCAAACAACAAACTCCAAACCCAAAACAAAAAACAAAACAACAAAAATAAGCCAAAAAACTATCATATGAAAGGTGAACAGTTCAAATTCTCAGTGTATGAAATAAATATAAGAATTCCTCATGCAGGTTCAATCTATTTGGGCCAATATCCTGAAACATGGTCTCAGCAGATTACTGAGATGAAAGCACAAAACTTCAAAAATTGAGGTAAACAGTCCTGAGAAGATGACTTGAAAACAAGCCCACCTTTAAGTGTAAACTAAACCTGTGAGTCTGATGGGCACTGGATGGCTTTCCCTGGTCTGGCTGTATATGTGTTCCAGTAGTTCAGCACACAGGAAGTTGGAAAAGACCAGCTTCAAACTCCAAGATTGAGTTCATCTTCCAAGATTAACTGAAATACAAAAAGGTCCTGACTGATGCTGTTTTCCTGAACACATGAGAATCTCCTAACAAGGAGATTAGCACAAGATCAGTGAGAAATTGGTCCATATAGTTTACCACGTTTAATCATAATGAAAAACAGTAGACCACAGTCAGTAAAATCCAACAAACAAAAAGAGAAGAACATTAAATCTTCAAAGTATTTGTGAACTTCCTAGTTTGATGACCCAGTACATGACTGCATATTATATACAATCCTCCATGAAAATGCCCATTTCATCTGTTCTAATGTTTTACTTTTCTTCCAACACAGGGATCCCACATACCCCAGCAGTGCCTCCTCAGATCTGTACAACACTGATTCAGACTATCCAAAAATTTCAACTGTTCCAGCTGTCACAGAAAATAACTGGGGCCAGCTGAATGTCAGGATGCAAGTAGTTACTATTATATTACTACTTCTTCTTTGTAATGCATCTGACTGTAGGAGGACAAGGAATAGGAATTTGAGAAACAATGGAAGGGAAAACATCTTAAGAAGAGCATCTAGCACTGTTAAGCGCAATGCCCAAGGCTTAACATGTGATATTTACACTTATCTTCATGAGAAATACTTAGATTGTCAGGAAAGAAAATTGGTTTTTGTGGCACCTGATTGGCCAGAGGATATAAAACACATGCTGCTAGCAAGAAATAGGATTCGGAAATTAAAGAATAATATGTTTTCCAAGTACAAAGTACTGAAAAGTCTGGATTTACAACAGAATGACATATCAAAAATTGAGAGTGAGGCTTTTTATGGTTTGGATAAACTTACCACACTCTTACTTCAGCATAACCAAATTAAGATTTTATCTGAGGAGATTTTTATTTATACTCCCAGTCTAAACTACCTGCGTCTCTATGACAATCCCTGGCATTGCAGCTGTGAACTAGAAACTCTTGTTACAATGCTACAGGTTCCAACAAACAGGAATTTGGGAAATTATGCCAAATGTGTGCACCCAATAGAACTGAAAAATCAAAAGCTAAAGCAGATAAAAACTGATGAGCTATGTAGTGAAAAGGACAGGCAGGATCCCAAAAACATAAAACGGGAGAAGCCTGAACCTGTCAAACCAGAATTTGATTCCTCTTTGTGCCACATGTATGTGTTTCCTGTGACAACTCTGAACTGCAAAAGAAAAGGTTTGTATCTATTGTTATAAATGAATTAATGATTTTAATATTATATTTATTTAATCCTTACTATGTTTATTCACACATTGTTTAGCACAAAAGGACTTGGTACTAGTACTTGCTTTAAACTGAAATTTAACTGAAATTTTTAACTGAAATTTAAACTGAAATTGTTGTTTTTCTCTTGTAACTACCAGCAATAAGTAGGAATTCTGCATTTTACCTCTCTGCTCTGCAGCCCAAATTCCACAGGTATTCCTTAGTGCTGTAATGTAAGAATCTAACAGAAAACAACAGGAATAAAACTAGGCATATTACTTAAGTTACCAGTCTGATTGTACAACTGTAAACATACTAATCTGTCAAATTACAGCTGTGCTGAAACTGTTGAGCTGATACAGGATAGCACAGTGTGTCTTTTCTTCTGTCCATTGTACAAACACAAAGATAGCAATAACTTTGACAAAAGTGAGCTGTGAAGCAGGACTAGAGCAGCCAGCTGTGTTTTCAATGCCCAGAGGAACCTGCTTGCAAAGGAAAGGCTTTGCATCCTCACATTCGCTGCACAAGAATTCTTCTACTAAAGCAAGAAATGGTATGTTTTTGTTCATGAAGAAATATCTCCTCTGTGTTCTTCCTCCCAGCACCCAGCAAACAATTCAAAGTTGAAGGGACTTCAAGAAACGTTTTTCAGAGACTTGGATCCATTCCATCCCTAAATCTTTCTCAGGCCCCTAAGAGCCACAGTTAAGCCTTAAGGGTAAACCAGATGGGGTATATATCAACACGAAAATGCACATTATTTGTCCTTTATATTTCCCATATTTTATCCCATGACAAAACAAAGCAAACAATTCAGAGAAGAATCATTCTTCAATGAGAAGCATTGCTTGAAGCAGCTGACATTGTGAGACCTTTTTCACCATTTTAGAAGAACTTAGCCTGCATGTTTTGTTCAGCTGAACTTCTATTTGCTTTAAGAGTAACTTGATTTTATGTAAAAACATCAGTGTGCCCTTACTCTTGTACCCTTATGCCAGAGAAAAGCTCAGAAAAACTCAGAATTCAGTATAAGGAGATAACACCTAAATATCAATTATTTCAGTATTTGATTACATGGTTTATCTACTATATATGTCACAAAAATAGTCTGTGTTCTTTACTTTTTTTCACCCTGTTAATTTCTTTCTTGTCCCTCTGGCTCAATTTTCTCTTTCTTTTACCATGCAGTTACTACATATTTTTATTAATGATTTATGTTTCTTTTATTATGTTTTTAATATTCACCTATCTTACCTTTCCTTGTAGATGGGATCTTACTATAGACTATGATCCTAATTATCCTTCATAGGATCTTAATTATATCACTATTACTAGTCAGTAAACTGTTATTGAACAAAACCCAGGCATAAATAACAATCCTAATATAAGCAAAGACTGACTTTATAGCTCTCCCCACTTACTGGTATCAAAGAGATGAGCTGCATACATAAATATACTCATAAACTTCTGGGGAAAAAAAAATTACTTTTTTTTCTAAGTTCATAGAGTCATTCAATGTGGTCTGATCTGCATGGGAGTTTCAAAGGGGTTTATGGTATTCAAAGACATATTTTTTTGTCTTTAATATTAATAATAGAGGAATACAGTTATTTCAACCATTACAAGAGGGTACTAAAGGCCACAGGTACTCCTTCTTTAAGGTCAAGAACTAAGTATATCAGTCCAGAACTTCCTGCATGCCTAGCCTAGGAACTGACTATGTTTCAATACTTTTTTGGAAGTACTAGATGTACTGTGCATATGCTTGACAGATGGATGCAGCTATCCCATGGATATTTGGTATTCCCAAACATGGTAATCTTTGATGAAAGCATTGTACTTACTGTCTCTGTATATGAATATTGTACAGCAGATGAATAATTTCACTGGAATTTTAATCAGAAATAGGACAATAATGCACACAAAATCCAGGGAAAACACAAACATTTCTCTAAATCTGCATGGACAAGAATTCAGAATAGAAAAAAAAATGTGCATCAATTGTCAAACCAGTAAGATGACATAAAAATCTGCAATCCATTGTTCCTTTACAGTGGAGGGAATGGAATGACAAGCACTCACTCTACCACTACTATGTCTAAAGAGGTATGACAACAGGTCAGGAACTTTCAGTTAGTGTCAAAAAGCTCATGAAAGAAACATCTTAAAAATACATTTCTCTATCTTCATGTTCTCTTTTTTTTTTTTTAGTAATTCATTTATATCTCATCAGACCAATGATATATCAGACCTTGTGGTACTCCAGAATGAAATACTCTATGCCCTTGATTCTGTTTTACAAACAAACAAACAAACAAAACCAAAAACCAAAATGTAACAAAAGGCAAAAAAAAAATAAGGAAGCCAAAGCATTTTATGCAGTCTGCATTGCTGCAAAGCACTTATATTTTCAAGGACAGTTGAAAAAAACCTGCTTTCTAGTACTGCCAAACTCTCCAAGTCTCTAAATTCAAGCATTATTTGCATTCATTTGGGGATAAATAGGCCCTGAAACTTTGACATCTGCAGAAGCAGGAAGCAATCCAACCACAGCAAGCTGGAGTAGTTATAATATTTATGTATTTATAATACCAAAGCTCTGCTCATAATCAGATATAAGGTAGGAAGACTCTGTATGTTGATTTAGTCTCAAAAATACCCGATTCATTAGACATCTCCAGAAATTCAGAATTACAGTGACCACACAGATTCCAGTATAAGTCCAGAAACTACTTGCTCTCATTCAAGGATGGTCAAATAAGAGACACTGCTCATTTTGTTGTTATGACAGTGTGGGATTAGAACACTCTTTGAGCAAATATAATAATCCTGGAGATTAGGTTTGTTAACACTACCCTAAGAGGGTTCAAACCACAATCTGCACTCCTCAAGCATGGGCTCTTACTGCTGGAGTATGAGCTGTTCTTTCTGGAGCTCTTTTGCAAGGAACACTGTAAGGATACAGACACTGATAACTGAGAGGTCCTTGGCTGCTTAGGAAATGCCAATGGTAGAAGTAGGACAGAGAAGCAGACAGAATGACACACTGCTGCCTAGGTGTATTTTTTTTATATAGTTACTCTGGTTTCTTTTCTTTAAGCAGCCTTTCACATACATTTTTTATATTAATATGGTATCTTCACTAGAGAGGATAAAACAGAAAGAAAACAAGAAACAATGTTAGACTGACAATACTCTGTTTGGCATGCAACTGTGATACCTAAGCAGTAAGAGTAATCTAAAACTGATACAAGTTATATCTTTTTCATTTTTTAAGATTTAAAGAAAGTTCCAGGTAATATACCTCCAGATATAGCTAAACTTGATTTGTCCAACAACAAAATTAGACAGCTACGAGCCAAGGAGTTTGAAGATGTCAGTGAACTGAAGATATTAAACCTGAACAGTAATGGAATAACATACATTGATCCTGGTAAGAATAATTTTAAATATTTATTAAAAATTATTTCTCTTTCATTAAATACTGTCTCTATCAGATACAAACTGATATCTGGTGGGGGAAAGAAGGATTTAAAAATCTAGAAGCTGGTGCAAATTTTACATTTTGTACCTTTCAGTTCAAAGGTTTGCACTAAAATATACTCATCATGAAAATCAAGAGCAAGACATATTTCGGTTGCCCTTTCTTAATACTAAACTAACCAAGTGCAAAAATTAATTCTGGAACCTGAAGGTTAACAGTTTTCTAATAAGTAGTTGAATGATTTTTTAAATATCTCTGCCACATCTAAAAAACCATTATATTCTATGTAAAATAACAGACAAACCTAAAGGACTTAAACTCTTTCTGGTTAAAAATCCCTACATATAATTGCTTTTAAGTTATATTTTATTAGAACTCAAATGTTCTTATTGGCAATTTGCTTATAACTTATGTGCATTTGGATTTAATTACAAAAGCAGACATAAAATGGGTGAGAGAAATAGTGAGAAAATTTATCAAGCAAAAAGGGCCTTATCTAGTACCATCCTGGCAATTAAACAGCATCAGAAAGTGGTAATATCAGTAAAATGGTACTTAGGAGGTTTAACATTACACAGTTGATTTATTTAAATTAAAACTTCTGCTATTAAATGGAACAGTATCCTTGCAAAAAGTCTGATCTGCTCTCTGAAATGTAATTCACAAGCGTTATTATGAAGCTCCATGTTTACTCCATTCCAAATCTTAAAACATTAATTTGAAGGTTCTATACATGCACACAAATACCTATATACATACGAAAACCTCTGGCCCTGCACATTGTCTAATAATAAGTTTCCATATACCTACTTCTGTATCATGACAATCACAGTAGGATTCAATGAGCAAATCAGGCATCCATCCACCTCCACTATCTCTATTCTATGCTCCGGCAGACTCATAAAGTGTTTTATAGCTTTACCAGCAGTGCAACTCCCCTACTATTTCTCACTTCTGAAGGCATGTGCCATATTTTAAATTTCAATGTTTGAGAAATTCTTTTGTAGCCTTAAGCCAAAAGAACCCCCAAACCCACCAGTAACTGTAAAATTATAAAAATGTTTTTCCCGTTCTAGATATGCATATTTTTCCTGTCACAGATATGAGTAGTGGTTTTTTCCTAAGTTGATTTTATAAGGTACTAATAACTACTTTTCTATTTTTAGCGGCTTTTTCAGGCCTCAATAACTTAGAGGAGCTGGATCTATCAAACAACAGCTTGCAGAATTTTGAATATGGAGTACTGGAAGATCTTTACTTTCTGAAAATACTGTGGCTGAGAGAGAATCCTTGGAGATGCGATTACAACATACATTATCTTTTCTACTGGCTGAAGCATCACTACAATGTTCACTACAATGGCCTAGAATGCAAAATGCCTGAGGAATACAAAGGATGGTCTGTTGGAAAATATGTCCGAAGTTATTATGAGGAATGCCCAAAAGACAAGCTTCCCATTTATCCAGAAACTTTTGATCTGGACAAAGATGACGAGGAATGGGAACGACACAAAGAGCAAACAGTTCAGACAGTAAAGAAGCATGGTGTAATTGTCACTGTGATAGGCTAATAAGGGGACTCTTTCCCTTAGTAGATTTAGATATTTGATACTTTGAAAAAGGAAAACATGCTGTTTACATTTGTTCTAATTATTCTGTTGGTTTAAAGGACTATCTGCCTACAAAGATGTCTGTTTATTGCAGATAATAACTACAGAATGACATTAGTTGGACAGCATCCTTCATCTAGCAATTGTTTTTGACAATTTGTTCTGGACACTCCTGTGAAATATTTTGGCAAATGTTTGAAACTATTCAGTAAAAATTGAGAGACACAAATGTATATAATGTGGTGGGGAGGAGCTGTCTTATGTATGAACACAGTTTATGTGTTCACACAGAAATAGCTGCAGGATTGTGACCAAGACACATTTTTCTTGAATGTATTGATGGTTCTTTGTATCAGTTTCCTGAAATATTCCCAGAAAACATTTCTAAGATTTTTATATTGACTTCCTGTTGTTTTATTGCAGACTAAAAAAACAAACTTAAGACTAACCTTAAGTACAATTGTAGGCAAAGAGAAATGGCAGTTGTTATACTAATTAGGATTCAAACACAGAAGGTGGGTTCCACTTGCTGATTTACCAGTGTTCCTCCTCCATCTTGAATGAATAACTCAGCCTCTGCCTCTTCCATACCTGAGCTGCCTTAAAAGAATTATTAGTCAAGACATGGTTGGTTTCCAAGATCCAGCTCCACATGCTCATAGCTGCCTTGTCTGATTTTTGAGGTAGGCAGAGCTGAAATCTTTCTAGGAAGAATTTAGGTTGTTGTATCAGTTTGACACAGATTGCATGCCATCACTTCTAGGTGACGAGGATCTCATGAAGGATGCTGTGGACTGCATCCACCACATCAGTGCCCACCCAAACTGAAGGTAAGTATTCTTTTGAGAGCTCAGAAGTGTGGGACATTCTCTAAATTCACTCTTCTCTCAGCTCATTACTAAAATGCACATTACAGCACCTCCTTGTCAAGCAACTATCTATGTGAATATTCATTGATTAAAACCTGTGATGATTCTAATACTACAGTAATAGCAGTATAAATGCCTCAGCTAAATAGATTATATCTCTAAAAATAAAATTTCTTTCTACATAATATACTTAGATCACTAAGAAACGCGTAAGTGCAGAGTAGAAATTCAGGGCCAAAATTTATATTTCTCTTGACTATCATGGAAGTTCTGGGAGACTCCAGGGAGAAAGTTTCCTCTTTTAAAGATCTGGAGACAATTATGGTGCTTGTGCATTCCCTGGTGCTTTAATCATGAGTCCCAAAGGTCGTGCATTTTGTTTTACAAAGCAAAGCACTCAGTGCTTTAGTGCTAACATGAAAAAAAAGAACATAAAGGAAAAAATCAGGAGATGTTAAGGGTGGTGGGAATGCCAAAGAATTTCAAAGCAAACACATTCCATTACTATTTGCATTCTTTCATGTCCACCATTATTCAGATATGAATACATTTAATAGTGCTTTGCTGAAAAACTGGATATTTACCCATTTCTTCTACAACATCCTTCAGAAACTTTATAGCAAAAATAAAACAGTATCTGACTCATGCCTATTCCTGGAAATATCTTAAACATTATCTTAACTATTAAAGGTTAATCCTGATAAGATGGAACAGAGAGGAAAATCCCATTTGCCAGTAACATTCACTAAATAGGGTATATTCTAGAAACTTAAAAGTGCAGAAAGAAAAAAAAAAGGTCACAAATAGTAGCAAGTATTAAGTGATGTTGCCCTCCTCCTCCTCTCAAATTCTTGAATTAATTCTTAATTACTTCAATACAGAACCCCTGGGTATGATTAAAAAGGACAGGTGATGAAACCACAGCAGAACATCTGTTATTAGCAGCACAGCCAATGATGAAAATCTGAGTAGGAAAAAATGCATTTATAGACCATGCTATGTTAATTTCTGCAAAGAGTCAGTGCTGGGAAAAATACTAGCTTAAAGCAGGCGAAGTCTGTGAAGAAAAGACAGTCCTTCATCCACGGAGATTGTAAGACAAAATCTGTGTGAGAGGTCTCTGATCTGTCTGGTCAGCAAAAAGTACCAGTTGAAAAAACAGTGGGATAAGACTGAGGACCACAAGCAGTGGACTAATTGCTCTTGTTCAGAGGCCCTGGGAATTCCCAAAGAGATCATGAATGTACCTCTTAGGAACAAGGGTAAAACCTGTGATACACAGTGATAAGTAGGATGATCTTCAGTAGAAGACAGAGTTAAGGGAGGGGTGTGATCATTCGGGGTTTCAAACAGTGGCAAAAGAAAGTGCTGTACCTGCTGAAGGTTGAAGGGGGATAAAGAGCTGAACATCCTGCCCGCATCTGACAGCACAAGATGTTTGGCCACAGCTATTAAATTAAATCTGTAAGCGAGGGAGGGACATATTAACAAGGAACATGGTTCACCATCTATCTCCAAATAAAGGTTTCCATGTGACCTTGTGAAGTCAGTGTCAGCACAGAAGCTCCATGAAAGAAACACTTGTGCAATAAAATCTAATTAAATTCAGTACTTAAGAGCAGTACTGATTAGACATCTGCAATCAGCAAATTAAAATACTTCTAGCAATGAAAAATGGTCTGAAGTTTTGAATGCTGGAATTGTCTTTGATACTGTTTTCCTTAGATGGTCTTTGAAGTGTTCAAGGAATAGCTGGAAATTCTATTATTTTTACTACAATGCACTATAATTTTATTCCTTACTGCTTAAAATTATTGAATATTTCATTTTTTTCAATGATACTAGAGAATTGTTTCAAAACAGACACAGAAATATTTATGTTGCGGTTTAGTTTCCTATAACTTAAAAAAAAAGGGGGTGTGTGCCTGGGGGAAACTCCTTGAAAAACTAGCTGAAATACATCAGGATTTTGTGTATGTTGGCATTTGCAGACACTCTCACCGAGGATGTGGCAGAATAGACAATGATAATGGCAGTAATTGTAACTACAAATAATGTAAGAACAAAACAGAAATAGGAGGTTGGGGCAGGAATAATATAGGTTAGTATGATCTCCTGATAGTGACTAGTAGCAAATTCTTTGAGAAAAGACTGTATGAACAGAAAAAGCATACAAGAGTTATGAAGGTAGTGCAGAAGGAGGCAGCACAAGAAAAAAGACAATAATATATATGAAAAACACACATGGGGTGAAAGACTAAGAATTGATAAAAACTTCAGCATTACAGGGTTCATTGCAATTTCTCTGAGCTTCTCGAAAATGTACTGTAAAATAAAATCTCCATCAAACACCACAGCCACAAAACACAATTTAATGTTGACACCTCTATGTTTCTGTACCATTTAATCAGAAAGCTCCCAGAAGAGCTTCCATATCTAAAAGAAAATCATGAGCCTTCCTCTTCTTTTATAAGCTCTTTAAGTCTCTTCTTTCAGTAACTTCTCTCTTGATTTCCCTTCCTTCTCTGTCCATAGCCAGGAAATAATTGCATGGTACATTTGCATGAAGACAGTTGCCTTGTCTTCCTAATAAGCAGTGCATGTCCTAGGAGTGCCGCCTTAAGGGATGAAATACAGTGCTCTACAGAGGTAGTTCCCCTCTCTCTACACAGCTACATGGAACACAGAAAATATTATTTTGTGCCATGTTTTCCATGACAGAATACAGGAAAAATGGAAATATCTGTCAATACTGGAAATAAAACACTTCAAAAGCTTCTGAGGAAGTTTTAGCTCCTGCACTATGAATACTAATGGCAGCAGTTAAAGGCAGTCCCCAGTCACACATGGACGACAAATGATTCTCCAAGATCACTCAGTAGGTGGAGGAATACCACAAACAGCTGAGCCATAACCCACACATCCCATACACTCATATTCTCTGGCACAGTGGCACTCTGATTTACCAAAGACATTCTGAGCTGGAATCATATTAACATTCACATGCAGATATTAGACTATTAATAAAGACTATTAGACTACTAATAAAGACTATTATTTCATGAATACACCACATGCCAAAATTAGAGTGCACAAACCAAATTTCTTAAAATTGCAGATTATTAATTTATCAAGAAAACCCCACAAGCATGCTTAGTCAGATGAACAGACCTAACCCACAGTTAATATAGTTGTTTTTTTAACATTAACAATAAAAGCATGTTGCCAAAATCTATGTAATCTTGAATTTATTTGGAAAGATGAGGTCAGAACTGTAGCTCATATAAGTTCAAATGGAAAGGTTCATCACATCTGTAGCCTATAATTGAACAGACAATTCAACTCAGTTTGTTAGCTGAAAAAATGTCAAAGGAAAAGAATATAAATATGATTTTCAGTCTCTAAAAGACGATGGATAGTTTTGCAGCAATGTTAAACCATCCACAAGAGCTTCAAAAGAATAGTACAAGTAGGCTATATGATAAATATATCCAGTGAGTTTCAACATAAAAACATATGTAGTTAATCTAAATATCAATAGGAGACTGATTTAAATGTGTTTCATGCCTGAAAAGAACTATAGTGTATCTTCAAAGCTGGAAGAAACAGCTTTATAAATCAATGTTTTCTAAAAGCCCCTGTAGACTGTCATGTATGACTCATCACAACCAGCTTAAAATAACACTCAGTATATGTAAATAGATATAATGTTTGATTTTGAGCCTACAGAAAACATTAATTATCAACAAAAATGGGAAATGCAAGGTTGTAGAGACAAGAATTTAATTCAGTGTCTTTGATATGTAAGATAAATGAAAATGGATGGCAATCAACATATGGATACTCCAAATGATATAATCAACACTAGATACAAGTCAGTTAAGTGACGGAAAAGGCTGTTTGTATACAAGATGTAATTCTATCACAATTGTTCGTTACTTTTTTTTCAGTCCTAAACACAAGAATCATTATGATGATTTTAGTTTTGTACCCAAATACACAATAAGAAAATCATAGAAGGATTTAACATTTTTAAGTACAACACCCATAAAGGAGGTGATGTAGCTGTGTGTGATTTATTTTGGCTTGCTTATTTTATTAGCTCCCAAAATTCATTATGATACTGGATTAAATTCTATCACTAAACAATTTGCATGCTGGTATCACTGAGAATGTTATTTTACCCTATGATATAAAAGCCAAAACTATCACCAAAATACTTTTTATGCTTAGCCAGTTGTTCTTTTTCATCACCAATCTAGAGACTAAATTGTTCTCACATGTCATAATTACACAGTTATTTACAAAAACAAAAGAAATCACTCTAATTGCTATAGGCTGCATCAGCAATTTCAATCATGTATTTTCAAATTAAATAATAAATGCATTATAGTCTCAAAACATAAAAAAGAACCACACTTTTTAATTTTGAAAATAATAACATTTTCCTTTTCTTTTTATGCATTTGAATTCAATTAAAGTGTAGGCTAGAAAAGAGTCAATTAGTAACATTCTCCTGCTTCAGAAATACTGTGCCAGGAATCAAAAATGTTTTTTGGGATCTTGTCTAGTTGTAGCAGAGGAGTTTTTTCCTCATGAAAACACTTCCAAGATGTTTTCAGACTTATCATGAAAAAATAGATGAGTAAAAGTTGGGATGCAGGCGATTCCTAACGAATCAAGTACACTTTCACTCTAGGACTAAACCTCTCACACTGATCATAAAGACTTTTAGTTTTCCTGCCCACTTTTCTGCTTAGTGGAGCATACAGCCATATTGAGAAAAATATTACTGACCTGAAACTATTGCAAAATGCTGTCACAAAGGGAATTAACTTCCAAACCCTCAGTCACATGTACTTACATGCACAGAATCAGGAAGAATTAAGATGCTTTTATACATCTAGAAGTAGAATGAAGTACTGATTATTTGTGAACACCACATTAATATCTAGGACCATAGTTAGTTTTTTGGGTTTTTTAAGTTTGGTTGTTGTTGTTGTTGTTTTTTAGTTTGTGGGGTTTTTTTGTCAGTGAGCCTCTTGTTAGAGGCCAGTAACTAACAGTATAGCCCAGCAGTCAGTATTGAGGAGTGTCCTGTTCAACATCTTCATTAATGACCTGGGCAATGAGACAGAGTGTACTCTCAGCAAGTGTGCAGATGACACTGAACTGGGAGCAGTGTCTGATAGACCAGAGGGTCATGCTGCCATCCAGAGGGACCTTGAGAGGCTGGAGAAAGAGGCTGACAGGAACCCCACGAAGCTCAAGAAGTGTAAAATCTGGCATCCGGGGACAGACAACTCAACGCACCAGAACCTGTAGGGGGCAGCCCAGCTTGAAAACAGGCTGTCAGCACCTGGAGGTCGTGCTGAACACCAGGTTGAACCTGAGCCTGTGATGTGCCCTTGCCACAAAGAAGATGGGTAGTATCCTGGGCTGCATTAGGAGTGTTGCCAAGAGATCCAGAGGTGATTTTTCCCTTCGGCACTAGTGATGCACACCTGGAGTACTGTGTCCTGTTCTGGGCTTCCCAGTACATGAGAGACATGGGCACACTGGAGAGGGTCCAACAATAGGCAAAAAATGGCTAAGGAATTCGAGCATATTCCCTACTAGTAAGTACAAGACCTGTGACTGTTCATTTGGAGAAGACTCAGGGGGCTCCTAGCAAGAAAGTATTTAAAAATACTTTAAAGCTAGGCCAGTGAAAAGAAGAGCAGCCTCAAAGAGTCAAACATAACACACATGGATGTCACTTCTGCATAATATTTTTGACATGTTTACATACTAAAATGTCGCATATCCATAACCATTTGCATTTCTGAATTGCATCATCACATACTGAAATTTCTGATATGCAACACTTAAAATATGCAATTTTAAGTATGAAGAAGAAACTAGAAAGGAACACAGTTAATAGCATCCCTCATCACTTTTCCTAAAGTGATTTTTATATAAGAAAAACTTTATGCTAGTAATGTAATTACTTTTATAACTGCACAATAATACACTGATGGCAACAGTTTAAACTTGATATGGCAATTGGCTGATAGCAGAAATACAGAAACACTTTCTAATTTTATCCTATATCATATCACTGAAGAGAATTTTTTCTTACACATTTCCAAAGACCTTTGTATTTAAGATATGCAAGTTAATAGTAAGATATCAGTGTGAAAACACAGCAAAGATGCCACTGTCATTTACAGAAGCATATTTCCATATTACCTACACAACTTTCCATAGACTACAATTTCATTAGCTAGAAATGGAAAATTCAGTAGGAAAATTACTGATGTGTCTAATATCTAAAAATACTAATGTGTCTTTTTTCACTAGCATTTAATTGCTTAGGTAATACATTCAGGTAATTTGCCTGCTCCTCGAAGTATGCTGCTGTTCAACAAGCTGTCTCTATTCACTTCATATAAACTTCTTCCAGGATTTCTGGCTTTATGTTCTTACCATAGAAATTTTGGAACTTGCTGTAGCCACTCTCATTTTAAAGATATTTAGCTGGTTCAGAATGCAGTTGTGTGGGGGACAGAGAGCCAACCAACAGTATAGCCTGGAAGGAAGAAGCTATCTAGGATACAGTTAGCCACTCTCCTTAGGGAAGAAACTTTAACTGCCTACCCTTGCAGGTGGAGTGAGGCACAGTCACCTGTCTAGCATGCTTTTCAGTTTCATGTTAATTCTACGTTTCTTATTGGTTGTTCCCTTTTGACCCACCCTGACCTGCAGGGCATAGAAGGTCAGTTTCTCTGTAAGCCCCTTGGCATCCATTCACAGATTTCTTGGGGGAAAGAGCTGGATTAAAAGCTTCCAAGAGATCAGATAAAAAGTCCTGTCTCTCTCACTCCTGTGTCACTCTGACAAGATTAATTCATTCACAATAGCCTTTATAAAGGCTAAGAGCAGAAATCACTATTGCAGTTGTGAGATGTGGGGTCTCTGCATCCCACCACCACCCAGCGAAGCAATACAGTTGGGGCTTACAAAGATTTTTTTTATAGAAACATATAGGCCATTTTCAATAGCAAATTCTTTTAGTGCATCTCTTCAAAGACCTGCATCCATGATAAATATAGTTGAATCCATCATGAGCTTCTCCAACCAAAAGTCTGTTTAATTTGGCCATGTAGATCATTTCCTTAACTTCAAAATTCCACCTAATTTAAAACTCGGTATCAAGACCGCAACAGCCACCTTTAAAACACAGCAATAATTTTCTGTCAATAACTCAATATCAGGGTACTGTGGTACCACTGACCTTTTTTAGGAAACTGTAATTTACAAAGCAAATGGTTTCCAGCTGGCCCTGAGGACAGTTCTTGTCCAGCCATAAGTAAAAACTCCTATAATTTTTTGGAACAGGATCAGAATACAAAGCTTTAATAAATGATAGTGTGCTAATAAGTATATTTACTAAATACCCCATAATTTTGAAATGATCCATCACCAAACATCATCTACAATGCCAGAGACAACAAATGCCCCTAATCATAAGTTCCAGAACTTTGAAAAGTCCAGGCATGCTTCTTTTTTCCACAGTTTGTGAATGCCCAAAGCAAACACATATTTGGCCTGAAAGAGACAACACCCAGTAACTATCTCCTGTTGAAGGGGACTGTATCTACATTCTGGATCCACCTAAAAGAGAACATGAGGATTCACAGAAGGAGAAAGGAAGAGAGAAAGGGCTCTGCCCTTCTGCAGCAAATGGTCAGGCACTCAGCTAGAGCAAACCTCTGCTCTGTCTTCTAAATAGAAGAGCTCTTTCTGCATTTCCCATACTGAATAAAATTGTGACAGCTCAAGAAAAAGAAACCAGGTGACAACCATACAGATTTGTAATTTTCTCTGGATCAAGGGAACTGCAATCTTTTAAATACAAAATGGAAGCTTTTCAGTAGGCTTCTTGCTTTTCTGTAATATTTTTTGTTCCCTCTGCAGTTCATACAAAAATAAAGCCATTATTTTGTAGCTTGTCTCAAAGTTCCGCAGCCCCAGCTCCCAGCACATATCCCAGGGCATGTGGAATTATACCAGAAATGTGTGTTTAGGTGACTTAGTTTACCCAAAATGTCTACAAAAGTGTGCACAATATAAATATACACAATTAAAAAATGACTGTTCTATGCATTCTAACCTAATCATGGAAGTCAAACCAATCAGTGCAACTGCTACTAAGAATGGACAGAATTTGAGATTACTATTCCCTGGGAATGCCCTGTTACATTCCAGAAACAGGGTATCTTGATCCAATCTAGTCAAACTAAAATTTTAAGTATTTTAAGACACCAGGTTTTTTTGAGTTTCTTAGTTTGATTTTCACTCCATCCTCACCTCTTGTCATGCATTACATCTAATCAAAGCTAAGACTCCAAGTCTGTGATCCCTCCTGTTTTAACCTTATCACTGCACACTTCACCTCCCAGAAAAGCATCCCAACTCTTTCCACCCCATACTTCTGACACACCTTCCATTTCCCTAACACCTCCCAACCAGCATCACTGCCCAGTCTTGAGAGAAGAGTACCAGCACCATCTGTCCTAGCAAAGAACACAGGGACCTGCCTCTCTGGGCACTCATGCCATCAAGTTCTCACAGCCCAGCCAGTGGATGGCATCCTGCAAAAAGACAGCTAGATAAATTGTTTAAATAAAGAACATTTAATTATTACAGCATAACCTTTGATTATATATGATATATATTTTGTCTTATGCAGACCAATATGCATACCTAGACTTACATGTCTTTCTTTCCTTGTCAGTTAGTATCCACATGTTCCACTTCTGTGTAATAACTTTTAATATTTGGACATTATAATGGACTTATTCTAGAGCCATCTTCTGTTTTTTTCTCATTCCTTTTCAGCAAATTATATTTTATCCATTCTCTGAACTGTAAACAGAATGAGTAATTTAATACAGTTTCTGACCTGAAGAAAAATCAACAAAACTCTGCAATTTGCTGTAAAATTCAAAGCAGTCAAGTTCAACAATGTAAATTTCTGAATAGAACTGATGTTTATTATTTATAATTTAAATAAAATACACATTGATGACATTTTTCAGTAGCGCTTCATACGCTCATTTTAATAAAATTTCTACTTGTTTGTAATTTTCTGAAGTATTGAACAATAAAAATTTGCTTGCTTCCACTGCTACTAAGTCCCGCCTACTGTCATCTGTACTTCACTAAAGTACAGATCTGTATTTATGGGAGGACATTTGAGTGTTTACAGAAAATCATTTAAAATGCTAGATACATGCATTTACTTAAGTGCTATTCATTTTTCCTTGGCAATACAAAAAAAAACAATGTAACTAAATGCAAATTCAGTTTATATATATTACCCTTTGGTAAAAGTCCCATTTTCTTTCCAGGCTAAGCAATAAGAAATAATTAGATTCAGAACAAATATGTATTTCAAATGAGTCATATATCACTGATATATTAAAATACACTATCTCTGTATCTGATTTGCTGAATGAATTAGACTTTCCATGGCTAAATCCATTTCCCAAAATCTCCCATGTTTCATATAAAAAAAAATATTCACATACTTGGGAGAAATTATAAATGGAACCTGTTCTGTTCCAGTCCAACATCTGAGATAATTAACAAAAGTCTTAGCTGAGACAATCTTAGAAAGACTGCACTAAAGGAAAAATTAATAATTTTCCATGTCCCTATTGTATAATACAATAAGATTAAAAAATAATGTGGTGGGTTTGGGCTTTTTTTTTTTTTGCTAGAAGGGCTACTGTATTAGGAAAATATTTGTAGTAGAAAAGATTATGAAGTACTGGAATATACTGCTTGCTGAGATTGGTGTGTCTCCAGCACCTGTGATATTTAAAATGCCTAAAAACACCCTGGACAAATCTGCACCAAGGTTAACCACAGCACAGCTTGAAAACATTTACCTCCCTGGCAATTCTGTTATTCTGTGGTTCTTAGTAAAGATTTACACTAGTGTTCCTAGCAAGGCTGTAGCTCCTATATAATAAGCACTGCATGCTTTTCAAAACAAAATAACCCACCTTACCTAATTCTAAGTGGAGGATCATCAAATTTTATATGCATAACAAAGAAATCAGTGGATGTGTTTATTGTCGTTATCATATTTTAAAACATGTCTAGGTATTATCCCCATTTTTCAAAGGAAAATTTGGATTACATAAAACATGATCTCCCTAATCCCGAGAACAGAAAACCAAAGAAAGAGTATAAGAGAGTACAGATTGCTTACTTTCAGACCTAAATGGAAATTGTCCTTTTATTTCTGGGTATACCACCATATTTCTCACAAATAGAGCTGATTAAAGTACAAAAATTTCAGGATTGGAACAGGAGCAAAGTCAGACCTGATAAGTTTTAAGATAGAATAACATTAGAGAAAATTAATACCAAATCTAAATTTGTAATCTCTATGTTATTGTGTTATGTTTTTGTTGTGTTAAAACAAAACTTTCCTCACACAAAGGAACAACATAAATCCTGCTTTGGTAAAAGATTTTTCCTATGATGTTCCTGAGGTATGTGTAAAATACATAAAATTACTCAAAATAAAGCTTCATTAAGTTTCTGCTGTAAAAGTCCCATTCTTTTTGCACAAAATTTTTTTAGTAATCTGAAAAATAATTTATGACAGTACACAAAGTACTGCTGTTTTATAAATGTTGTCTTTTCCATGCAATTAAAGGATCTAATTTGAAGTGATGAATATTCAAGTATAATTTTCTGTGTATGGTTAGAAGTACTTCACTACCAAATGGCACTACTGTTTCTACAGAAAAGTTAATTAGCATACCAGAACTAGTTTGTGTGCTTGAAGGAAAGATCAGTAACCGAAATTCAGGCTTTTATTCATCACATCCATTCTTTTATTGATCAGCTTTATTCAGCTATTAACATACTAAATATTTTAGTTACTCTTTTCAAAAATTGTTTCATGACCCATTGCTATGTCAGCCATTTACACATGATTCTAAGTGGTATTTTAATAAACCTGTCTGAATTTCTGCAAAACCAAAACTGTGTAAGACCAAGGGCTAAAAATATCACTGTAGAAGAAAATAGCTATGGGCCTCATAAAATACTGTGATTTATCTCACATATTGATCTTACTCCTACAAAAATCTACGAGAGAATTTGACCACAAGAAGTTTGTCTTTGTATATATGTACTGTATAAATCAAGCATTTCACTTTTGGACTGATCTGAATACTAATAGAATAGTTAGCAAAAGAGGAAAAAGCTGAAATGTAATTGCTGTGAATTCAGGACAGATGTACTAACAGAAGATAAAATTGAGTACAGTTATACAGTTATACAGAGATAATCAAGAGAAAAATCCGGTCACACTGCATGCCAACTTACTGACTCAATTGTTTAGTGAGTGGATCCAAACATTAAAGATTTATTAATCACATCCCATTGAAGACTTCAACCAGAAAATTGCAGAAATCAAGAAATATCACATTATTTTCTACGATTCCAATATAAACAAAATTAAATCCTTATTTTTTTTATCTCATGTTGTGCTGTCATTTAAAAAGGGTGAAAGAACACACAGAGAACAGAAAAAATGATAAATACCTCACTTAATGATGCAGTGCTTGAAGGCCACATCCCTGGTTCATATAGGTAAATGTGCTATGGATAGCAATGAAGTTAAAACCCTTAACATCACCTCAGTTTTGATTACCACAAAAGTAAAGGGTTAATATATCAACCGAACGAAGAGAAGCATTAAGTGGAGGCTATATTCATTAAATATTCTGTAGACAAAAAAAATCACAAACAAAAACCCCAATCCCTCCAAACCCATAGATATAAAAATAAAATATGTTCAATGTTTTTAGAGATATTGCCTTACTGTTTTTGCAAAATCATATGCCATCAATATTTGAAAAAAAAAAGTAAGATTATAATTTAATTTCCAGTCTACATAGTAGATGCTGTACCATTAGCATATTTTAAAACTCCAAGTGCAATATTATAAACCACATAGCAGACGCGTGCGCGCACACACACACACACACACACACACACACACACACAGAATAATTCAGTATATATTATAAGAAAGTATCTAATCCCTTTGCCATTAATTCTCTGAGCTTTTCTTCTAAAAATGCAAGTGGATCTTTTGGATGAGCAATAAATACACCACAAAATAACACCTACAAAAAGAAGCTGCAAATTAATTCCTTGTATTTACAGCAAAGTAGCATCTAGTTATGAAGCTGTTGAAATAAACAACAGTTTACCAGAATCTTTTAAAGCACCCCAAAATAGAGGCATTTCTTTCTATCAGTTGCCATTCTTTCAATTTTTAAAGGTAATATTGCATGCATCAGCATAATTCCATTGCTAGTTTTCTAAGTACTGAGTTTAGGATAGTAAAATAAGTGGCATTTCTTTAGCAATTCCTACTAAGAATTTCATTGATTTTAATATGCATTTTAAAAAAGAACATATATAAGTTTAGATAATTTTATTTGCTTAATAAAAAAAAGAATCTAAAACAAGTTTAATACTGTGACGTAAAGAGTATGTTGAATGAGAAGCTGGGCAAAAATTGATCCTGTAACCAATATTGAAAACAAAATGCAGCTAAAAAGTATTTGCTTTTCAGAATTGTTTTATCATAAAATTTTACATTATCATTTAGTAACAATGCACAATAACCAATGAACCATTTTTTCTCATTTGTCCTTTAGCTGTCTTCAGCTAAAGGACACGGATAATTTATTTTTGGACTTTGAGCTCAGATACAGCAAGAACTAGCAAGGTATATTAAAGTATACAGGCAAATTGCAGTTATTTAAGTGACTATTTATTGGAAACTACAAACAAAAAGTTCTTCTGGCTGGTAAAAATGTCAAAACGTGGCATGCAATACTACCTTCCTTTCAAGACATGGCCTCTTGCTGTTATTAAACAAATGTGGAGCTTGTGCTTGAATCCTTTTCAGGAAGCATGATGGGAGGACAAATAAAAGGAGGAAGGCTCTAAATCAAACACATGCTGTGGACAAAGAGCAAATGTCATGCATGGCATAGAGACAAGAAAGGCACCCTGTCAAGTTGCCCCTCGCCCTGCAGAGGCAGAGAGCAGGGAAGGTAGGTAGAGGGAACAGTTTGACAGGCCTTCCATGTTCTAATCAGTACACTGTGCAGAAACAGAATCAGACAATAATGTAAATTGGAAGAGATCTCTGAAGGTGGTTGAAGAGAAGTTGTTGGGATGCCCCATTATTGGAAGTGTTCAAAATCAGGCTGGACAGTATTTTGAGTAAGGTGATCAAGTGAAAGAAAGGTGTCCCTGCTCATGGCGGGGTGGTTGCACTAAATATTCTTTGAAGGCTCCTTTCAACCCAAACTGTTCTGTGTTTCTGGGAATCTAAGCCAAGACCAATATGAAAAGGTGAAGACAAAATTAAAGGCCATTGTCTTCAGTTTAGATGTCTGAATATTTATAAAACTAGTCAACACACCAATTCCAACCTTAGCATCTTTCTAATCCTCTTAACAGAAATGTAATTTGCAAGGGTGGTTGACCACTGACTATGCTAAAAATATTTAAATGCCTTACTTATCATTGTAATTCATGGCATGCAATACTTTAAATAATAAACAGCTAAATGTTTTTTTTCACAAATTCTCCTATGGCCAAATTCCCAAAGCCATTCCCAACATTGGTAAGCTACTCCCTCTGCTGGATAATATGTATGTGACTGCCATATGTTATTTCAATTATTGTTTGCCTCCCCCCACCGCCCTTTCTCAAAGAAACAGACAACTTCTCCTTTGGGTGTTCTGAAACACAAGAAATCAAATCCATCCAGTGATATACTGGAATTCAATGCCTCTGTTTAACATTTGAGAAGATTAATTAAATAAGGAAGGAATTGTAACAGCTCGTCTTGCAATCCTCATTCAAGTACTCTTCAGTAATGTTTGGACTAGGTGTAAAACTGGAAACAATTGTGTAAATTATGTCAAGCAATTAGGTCTGTACAAGTCTGGCTGTTTCTATTAGACTTCAAGTCTCTCAGAAGTCTCTCAGCAATCTGAAAGAGCCCATCATCAATGTTTTCACACATTCTTCCTAATATCACTTTAGCCATTTACCCTTCACGGCAAAATTGATTTGGGTCCAGGGCAGAAAAATGTTAGGCCAGCTCTTCATCCATGTTTAATTCTAACATTGTAAAAATACAGCTACTAACTACAGTGAAACTCTCACACACAAGAGTTTGCAGGATTACAGTTTCCCTGCCTTTTAATGAATAATGTTTAAAAGTAAATCTGGATGAGAACAGACAGAAATCACACAGGAAGGAAATTCTCAGATGCAGCAGGGAATCCTAAATTATTTGGACAAGATTACTTGAACTTTAACTTGTTTGGACCATGTCCAAACCACAGCCTCATCATAAAAAGACTTGAGCAAATGGCCATTTTAGAACTCTGTATCCTTAACTTTGAGACTATGTGTATAAATGTTCAAAGGCCTCATCTTAGCTTTGATGTTCCTTAATAAAAGGACCAGTATTATCTCATTTATCTTCACACCAAGCATACCATAATCACCGCGGGTGATTCCTTCCTGTAAAACAGAAACCGCATAAAGAAATTAAAATAAAACAAAATTAAATAAGAAACATATGCCAGATATCAACAAGCAACAACCTCTAATAAATAAGAAAAACAAGGATAAAAATATCTTAGGGTAATTTTCAACTGGTTCTTTTAAAAAGGGTCTTCCTTTAATCTTATCTTTAATTCTTTCATTTTTAGCTCATTAACTTAATGTCACTGCTTCTATAATGCTGTTATAGCTATGTAGCTAAAATTTCTGGTTGGAAATGTAGATATGAGCTGTTTTTTAAGTGCTGAATCAAGAAATACACCTCATGCTGATACATCTTATGTTTTGTTTTTCTGTGCTTAGAAAACAAAGAATGATCTAGAGACAGACTCCCAGAAGTGCTTAGTCTACATGGCAGCACTGGTCTATAATTATTGTAATTGGCTCAAGGTTTCTTTATTATTATTTCCATGGAAATCCTGGCTGTAATAGCTGATTGCAAATGGAGTCTATTTTGGCAGATTAAATATATCAGGGTATTTCTTAAACTTGCATTTGTACATTTCACCTTTTTTTTTGTTTGAAGGAAACTGAAAAACAGCTGCTGCAGATTTGGTAACAAGCAGAGGTGAGCATGACAAAGAGGGAGGGAAACACAGAAACACAGAGAATCACCTCACAAATTCTAAGGACAAACCTACCAACCCTGTTTCCCCTACAATCCTTCACGCTGCGCCACTCTTACTCTCTGACATTTTATGAAGTCTATTTACTTCTGTGCCAACAAGAATACCTAATCCACCAGTATCTGAAGCATGATCCTGTGTCATCTTTACGACAGGCACACCATTAGAAAACATGGATTGCACCCACTGCACTCATGAGGAAGGAATTATCCGGCTGGAATCTAGATGCTTTTCTGTAATTAACACTGAAGAAGTTAAACGTATCAGGGAAGGTGCCAGTGCAGTTCACCGGGTTCGTCTTCATTTTAACATAGATTATAATGCAGAATTGCTTTGTTTCATCTTGTTTCCGTTCTTAAAGTTTTCATAAATCGTTTGAAGTATGAAAAACGTGCAACAGTGACAAAACGAGCAGAACAAAATCAAGCCCCAGGCGAGCAGAGAGCAGTGGAGGGGTATGAGATGCCCCGGCCAGCGCTGAGGGGCACAACCAGGGACCAGGGCTCTGCTGAGGGCCGAGGGGGGCCCTTCGTGCGGGGGGGTGGCGAATGGCTCCCTTCCACAGATGTTACCGGGGCAGTCTGTGGTCCCACCGGCTCCTGTGGGACCAGACTGCCGACCGCCTGGACACCCAGAGGGTGACGAGGTGCCAGAGGCGGCGGAGACGGCGGTCACCCACTTTGGGGATGATGTGCCCTCTCCAGAGCCTGCCATGGCTCGGGACCGCCCTTGCTGCCAGCGGGCCGCCTCCCCGAGCGGGAAGCCTGTTTCGGAACGCGCTGCGGGACCGGGCCGGCCCGGGAGCGCGGGTGATTCCTTCCTGTAAAACAGAAACGCATCGCAGCCTTGTCACGCAGCGGCACACGGAGCTGTGGGCTCGGCATCCCTGCAGCACCTCAGGCACAGCACCCGCGCCCGGCGCCCGAAGGAAGGGCAGAGCCGCGGCCGAGCCGCGCCGGATGGGGC